TGAAGACGCAGCTGCTGAGGCTTTGTCCTCTGGGAGATCCTGGGTCTGCTGCATAATTCACGGGGAGCCCCGAGTGTGAAGTGCCAGAACGAGGAGGAGGAGCCACAGACACACTGGAGAGCACTGAGCACAGCACGGGTGCCCAGAATCCCCCGCGTGTGTGGCACAGGCGCGGCCGGCGGGGAACCACTCCGAGCCCAGCCTCGCCCGAAGCCCAGCTCTCCACCCGTTAACTCGCTTCCCGTCACTGGTCCTGCAGGAGGAGCTGAGCGGCTGTGACAGCAGATACGCAGTGGACAGATGTCAGAGGGGAGAGAGGACGGGAGGCCTGAAGCCCAGCGGAGCCCACTGGCAGGGTGCCCGGCGGGTGCTTGTCCCCTGGCCGACCGCCCTGCCCACGGGCTCCCTGTGGCGCCCTCCACCTCTGCTGACCAAACGAAAGCCTGAGTGGCAATAGCTGCAGAGGTGGTGGCCTGTGGGACGACTTGACCGAGACGCCCCCAGGCCGGCGCGAGATGAACCAGCGGCCGCGGCTCAGGCGGCGGGCTCAGCAGGGACCTCGCCCCAGATGCCCACCCTGCACCAGGGGCTGCAACCCGGCCAGGCTCCCCGCCCCCAGGGTCCTCCCACGCCTTCCCCATCCATCAAGGGGAAGTGCAGGTTCTTCCTTCTGGCAAGGACGCCCGACGCCCTGGCCTGTGTCCCCTCCCCGGCCAGGCCAGCGGGCACGGCCACTTTTCCCCCTGCGGCAACGAAGCCCTCAGTTTTGTTCTGAATGGGTTTCTCGCTGCTTCTGTAAATGCCAGTCCTGCCTCCACAGTGGGGGCGAAACCCTTAGGAACGGCAGGCCGAGCCCTTTCTCACCCAGGCCCCCTGGACGGTGATGGCTGAAAGGGACCTGGGCCGTGCTGGGGGGAGGTGACTCGTCCATGGCAGCGGCCAGCCCGGCCCCTCAGCACTAGTGATGGGTCTGGCTTCCCGACTAGAGTGAGTTCTGAGGACCGGGCTCCCGGGCCGGAGAGGCTAGCACGGTGTCCGCCAATGCCTCCACTCGTGTGCTTAGAAATTCCATTTTTAGAACCACGTCTCAATCAGTGAAAGGGAAACACGGTGAATGAGTAATCAGCTTCCTGTGTGAGTCACAGGCCATAGCAACCAGGAAGTCACGGTGTTCTCAGCGGACGCCCTGGGAGGCGAGCTTGTTATTACTGGTCCTCACGTGGCTGGGCTGTCACCGGCTTTTCACAGGAGGGTCACGGAGCAGGGCTGTGTGACACCTGCCCCCACGCGCCATCTCTTGGCCGCGCCCTCACAGAGGGACACTGTCGTCCCGGCACCCCTGAGTAAGGGAAGGAGACGAGGGCAGAGCTGGCACACAGGACAAGGAACCGAGGTGACTAGAAAAGTGAGGGTGTGCCGGAGGGTCTCAGACGGGCGGGGCTGCAGCCGCTCAGCGCCCGCCCACACACTCCTGCAGGGCGGCCCACTGCCAGCGGCAACCCTGCTGACGATGCTCCCCAGGGAGTTCTGATTATGTCCAACTTACTTCAGGGTGGCGGGGCAAAACAGACTCGGCTGCTTCGTGGAGACAGGAAGGGAGGGAGGGCAGGGCAGGCTGTGGCTGCCAGGTGCTGGGGACTCCCCCAGCCGGGCCACCTAGGGAC